TCCTGGTGGGAGAACTTAAGTGTTCTCTATTTTTGCAGTTATGTTAGTAGATCAACTAACTACTAGCTATGTGTGTGTGCGCTGCTATTTTCTGTGTTGCTAACCTTGCTTGTTTGTTTTTCCGCTGTTGTACCTCTGATATGTATATTTGATTTATTTTCAAGCATATCTCTTTTGTGAAAGGAATGTTTAAGTGTTTTAGCCAAAATGTGTCAAAGGGGGAGATTGTTATTTCTCGGAAATTACGGTTGGCTTACATTTTGGTAAAATCACTTTAGCAGCAACATGTTGAACAAGATGTTCCAACATTCTATTTCAACATGTCGAGTAAGATGTCCCAACAATGAGATATGACATCGCGTATGCACCAAACTGACAGTGTGAATCAGCTGATTTGTAGCTATTGAATATTCATGGAGTATTCAGTTAGCTTATGTGGCGTCCAAGATTGATTGGTCAGAATATTCTTTAATTGGTTTCGAAGATTTGATCAGTTTCTAAATATGGAGATTTATTAGGAAACTAATGATTGAAGACCTATTTTCTTGGAGGACTTTTTGTAGGCTTTGTGCAACCTCATTGCTGCAGTTTTAAAGCTCACCCCAGTCTAGAATAAAGTTATAAATAGACTGGTGTATACCTAGTATTAGGTAGAACTTACGTGTGTGTTTTAGGGTTGTAGAATCCTTATTTTTGTGAGCCTCTCTGATATCATCTTAATAGACGAGTAGGATTGTTTTGTTGGGTTGTAAGTTCTCTTTTTAGATGTTCATAAGCTTTTAAGCATTGAACATAGTGTGTGTCAATTCTCATAAGCTTTTAAGAATTGAGTATTGCGTGTTTTGGAAGTATAGCTTCCAGTTGGTTTTTGTTCTCTACTTGTGTTTAAAGTTTGCTCCAATTGCTGAGTCTAGTTGAAGAGGGATTTGAGGAGGGCCTCATACCTAAGTGTGTCTTAGGTAGAAGTTAAGCAAAGGGTAGTGATTAAGTGCATAGACTGTAAATTGGAGGTTTGCTGTAAGGTCTGCAAATTGATACTATTTAGTTGATTTCGTCCTTGACTTGGTAGCCTCCAGAGTAGGAAAGTTGTTCTGAACTGGGTAAATATTTCATGTGTTATTTACTTTCAGCACTGTTATTTTTGTTTATATATCTTATTATTGTGTGTGAAGTCAGATTCGGTGTCTCGACATCTCGTAGGACATTCGGGATCTGATAGCCAGAATTTCAGAACTAATGAGACAAATAAGATGTCTTGAGGTATGAGAGACCCATGAAGCTTGAGATCCAAAGATTTAGGGCATGAGACCCTTCTTGCACTGATTGATAACACAAGCATCTCCCATATCAAGTGAGAAAGGGGTCCCTTATATGAGAGTGAGAGGAGTAATTATAAGCCATTGGATCAAAATTAACGTAATAAATGAGGAGAGAGAAGTAAGATTTAGAAGAAAAAAAATAACTTCATCAATGAATTTAAAACATAAGCACGTGACTCACTTATTCATTTATTATAATCTCAACCATCCAATGTAATCTAAAGGCTAAAAAGAAACCCTCTCACTCTCACATAAGAAAGACTTTCTCATGAGATATGGCCCCTATATATATATATATATATATATATATATATATATATATATATATATATATATATATATATATATATATATATATATATATATATATATATATATATATATATATCAACTAAAAATAATCATGAGTTTTTTTATAAAATATGAACGGTTTCTTTAACAATATTTTTAAAGGTCGGTAATTTCAATTCCATTCTGTTATTATTTCTTATTATATTCTAATTCATGATTATTTTGAAAGCAACTTGCTATAAATCAAAACATATTTTTTTAAATAAATTTAATATGTTATTAATTAATAGCATAATAAATTTAATAATAACATAAACTAATACTATTGATTACGTTTTTTAAACTCATTCATTATTACAAATTTTAAAAATACATTAATGTAATGCCTAACTTATCTCTCATAGCTTTAAATTAGACTTTCAATTACCAATGATTAATTAAGTGGTGATTGATGTTCTATTTAGTAGGGAGGAATTCTCTACAACTTGATGTTGTATTTAGTAGGGAGGAATTCTTTACAACTGTGATTAGGAGGGAGGTGAACCCACTTAATACTAGAGAACTGATCCACTGAATTATCTCGATGGTGAAAAGCCAAAAAAATAAATTCAATTTTCAAATTTTTTAAAATTTATTTTCCAAATTTAAACATCTTTAAAAAAATTATTAGACTTTTATATTCATCAAATTGACATTAAAGATAAATATAAACTTTTTTTGAGTTAAAATTTATCATTAAATAATTTAATTTCAAAAATATTAACGACAAAAGTGATTAATTAGTTGAAATATTCACTAAAATTTTAAAGATATATAATAAAAACGAGAATAATCTATTTCTATGCTTGTATTAAATATTAATGTATTTTTTTTGGAACAAACAAATTATAATTAAACAAAAAAAAAAAAATCAGAAGTTACAAGGCGATCGCTAGAATTCGGTCGACCACAAACCAAAGAAAAGAGCTAACTTAGCATAAGTATAATAATATGAGGCTTAAGGATCTCACTAAGCCAACCTCTAAAAACAATCTTATCAATAATATCATGGACAACTTTCTCTTTCTCTATACTACTATCAAAGCAAACAACATTTCTAAACTTCCAAACACCATAGATAGTTTCCACGGCTGCCAGCTTCAATAAGACTGCTCTCTAACCTTTACCTTTAGCATGAGTGATAATCCAAGAAATTTCGGCATCCCATTTTTGAGGCACATGATAAGTTTGGATCCAAAGAAGAACTCTAGACTAGATATCCTTCATCTCATCACATTCAAAGAAAAGATGTTGAATGGTTTCCTCCTTACCACAAAAACTACAATCATAATTTGCCAGCATACCAAACTTAACCAACCTACTTTTTCTTGCTAACTTCCTGTGACAGGCCAACCAAAAAACCAGGATTGCTCTGGGCCTAGCTAAATTATTCTTCAGTAATCTATGCCAATTCACCTCAGCACCAACATTCAAAGTAATGTAAACAGATTTCATACGAAATTTTTTCTTCGAGTTCATGGCATTCCAGGTGGCTGCATTGGTATATATATACTCCCTTTGCTCTAGAATCTTACGCATAATCCAAGTGCTACTAGCTTTGGGCTTGGCCTCCATAATATCTTTGTTCTTGAGGTAGTAAGAGTGGACCCATTTAACCCATAAGCTGTCAGTTTTGTTACAAATGTTCCAAAGAAGCTTCAACATGGCACACTTATTCCAAATCACCGGATTAAGAACCCCCAGACCGCCCTGCTTGATAGGCTTACACACATCATTCCAAGCCACAAGACTCTTCTTACTAATAGTGTCCTTACTAGTCCAAAGGAAAGATCGGCAAATAGAATCAATTTTTCTGATAACAGTTTTTGGCAGAGGGAAGCACATGAGCCAATAGTTAGCCATAACAAAGGTAATACTCTTGATCAATTGCAATCTTCCTGCATAGCTCAAGAACTTAGCAGACCAATGCCTAATCCTGCAGACAATTTTATCAACCAAACCCATATAATGACAAATAGCTAGCTTCTTGTGGGTAAGAGGCACTCCCAAATATTTAAAGGGAAGACAACCCTCTTTAAACCCAGACAGATTAAGAATCAAGTTTTTAGTAACACTATCAACATTGCCAAAGTAAATATTGCTCTTATTTGTATTAACCCTCATACATGTAGATTGAGAGAAAGTATAGAAAGTTTTCAGCATCAAATCAGCAGAGTGGAAATATCCTCTAGAAAATAAGAGAACATCATCAGCAAACATCAAGTTAGTGAGCTGCAGCCTCTCACACTTAGAGTGATGGTTGAAATTAGGATTACACTATTTGGTGAAGACATCTTTGGAGATACTCCATGACAATAGCAAAAAGATAAGGGGATAGAGGGTCCCCTTGTCTAATGCCACGCTTAGCATCAAATGAGAGATGGAACCATTAACATTAAACCTATAGGAAACTGAGGAAACTCCAGTAATAATCCAGCCAAGAAATTTAGGGGGAAAACCAATTTCCTGCAGAATGCACGGTAAAGCCTTCCAACTAATCATGTCATAAGCTTTCTGCATATCAAGTTTAACCATACATCTAGGGGGCCTCCATTCCTACTATAGACTTTAATAAGCTCCTAAGCTAGTAGTATATGGTTTTGGATTTGCTGGCCAGAAATAAAAGCAGCCTGATTAGGACTAATGATGGAACCAATCACATGGCCTAATCTAACAGTCATAATTCTGGACACAATCTTGTAAAAGGTAGTGCAAAGAGAAATAGGTCTAAAATCCTTAATGATTTTAGCTGAAATACTCTTAGGAATAAGGGAGACTAAGGTACAATTGAAGGCCTTGAACATTCTCCCTTTCTCAAAAAAATCTTGCACAGCTGCAATCGAATCACATTAGTAATGTCCCAACTGTGTTTGAAAAATTCGGAACTAAACCCATACCTTTAAGAGTTGCAAAGATCTCAGCTTCACTAACAGGTTTCTCGAGGCTATCCATCTACATTCTATTGAGCTGAGGACCTCTTCTCATAGCTTGCACATCAATGCAATAAAACTCCTCATCCTATCTACCCATGAGATTCCCATAAAAGTCCAAGACCTCCTTTTCAATATCATCCCAAGAATTAATATAAGAACCATCATCCTTAACCAGCAAATTCATAGCTCTATTATTCTGCTTAGCTTTAACAGAAGCATGGAAGAAAGAATTGTTACCATCACCATACTTAAGCCAATTAATTTTAGCCTTTTGCTTCAAGATCTCTTCTTCAATATTATTCCAATTCACCAAGTCCTCAGTAAACTGCTTAACCTCAACAATTTTGTGACTATTCATCCTGTCATAATTAAAGGCAGTTTGAGCTTTAGCTAACTTATCTATGGCCTTAAGGATATTCTACTTAGCAAGAATCAACGACTTGTGCATTTTATACAGAACAGGCTCCACTCTCCTCAATTTATTCCAAAGGACATACATAGGTCTACCAACAAGAGGAGTATTCCAACTATCTTTTACCATATCAGTGTAACCATCTACATCTGTTACACAATAAACAAATCTGACTCTGGTGTGGTGTTTTTCAACCCTAGGCTGACTAGCCAAATAAAGCAGGGAGTGATCTGAGACAAGAGGAGGCAGATTCCTAAGAGTAGAATTCAAGTGATTGTAAAACCAATCTACATTAGCCAAAAGCCCATCTATACTGGAATAGATGGTAACTGTAAAGTGCTTGTTGGACCAAGTGTAATAATCCCCAATGAGATCCATCTCTAAGAGGTTGTTGTTATCCATAAAATCCTGTAAATCAGAGCATTCAGCTTCAGTGACTATACTACCCCCAATTATATCTTGAGACTTGAGGACATTATTAAAGTCACCTATAAGGCACCAGGGCCCCTGCTGATGAAGCTTATCCAGATCTTTCCATAAAGTCCTCCTTTGATCCAACTTGTTAAGAGCATAAAAGTCGTTAGCCAGTATTAGAAAGTACCCTGAGCATTATAGATCCCATAATGAATCATTTGACTAGACCCAGTAATGACTATAATGTCAACATTATTAGGATTCCAATGCACCCAAATCCTACCATTGTCTTGATACATGTAATTATCCCCTTAGCAGGATTCCTATTATCGTTCGACACATCCACCCATAACTTCCTCACTTCATCAGATTTCGGATTTAGGGTTTCATCAGACTCCGAAATTCCTTTAACTTTGTCATCTACCAACTCGATTGAACTAGCTTTCTGGCTCACGGTATCAGGTTGCACAATCTTATCAAGTGGACTCAATGGAACAATGGTCGGAGAAGAATGAGAACCAGATTCCAGCGGCGATGACACCGGTTTTTTTTTACGCCCCTGCCTCACCATCTCTAAATCAATATTAATGTATTTATTATTACCATAAATAGTTTTTTGAAATATATTTCTCCTCTTTGAATTTAGTGTTGAATGCCAAAAAAAAAAAAAATTGTTAATTAATACATTTTTGAATCACGACTCCAAGTTTTTTATTCTATTTATAAAATTAGTTTTTAAATTTATACAAGTTAACAAGAAATAAAATATAATACATTATTAATTTTTATAATATAAAGGTAAAATAATTAAAAAATCATGGTTCCTTATACCCTCTTTACTTAAGTAGTATTAAATTTTAATTAATTTAATATTGATAAAAATAAAATAAATTCTAAATAATTGAATAATAAACACAACTAACTAAACTCAAATTAAGTTTATTTTTAAAATCTGTCGCATGAGTGAATCTAAGATAAAATGAAAAGTAAAAAATAATGATTAAATTAATTCAATTTTTGTTAATTATTATGTTGAGTTCAATTGGGAAAAAACTATTGTATTAAAAACTTTAAAGATTTGATTTATTTGACACTTTTTAGTTAGTTATGTTTTTTTATCAAAAAAAGAAAATAATAAAATAAATATAAAAAGGAGACAATAATTTTTTTAGCTTTCAAATTAATTTTTTTTTTAAAAATAAATATAATATATTATTAATTAATATCATAATCAATTCAATAATAACATAAAAATAATATAAAATTAGTACTCTTGATTAAATGTTTTGAATTTGATTACTTATGAAAATTTTAATAATACATTAATGTATTTGCCCAACTTGTCTCTCGTGGATTTAAATTTGACTTTCAATTTTTATATTTTATTTTCTAACTTCGAATATATTTTTTTACAAATAAAAGTTAATCGTATAATATTAATTAATAAAACAATTTATAAGAAGTTATGATCACAAAATTTAAAATTTAATAAATTGAGACTTTAATAACAATCATATTTTCAAACTTGATACTTTTTAAACAACTTTCAAAAAATTGTTAGGCTTTTATATTTATCAAATTGACACTTAAAGTAAATATAATTTTCTGCAAGAAACTAGTAAGACAACATGCAAACTTACAAATACACTAGATGATCTAAATATGCAAGCCTACGTATACACTAGATGATCTAAATGTGAAGCTGGGAAATGCAAAAGAAGATATTATGATTTATAAGGAAATGTATTAGAGTTTAGTCGAAAAACTTATATTCCTCTCACATACTAGACTTAATGTTGCTTTTGTTGTTAGTTTAGTTAGCCAATTCATGCACCGATCAAAGGAGATTCATTTACAAGCTGCACTCCAAATTGTACAATATTTAAAAGGAACATCTGGTAGATAAATTTTGTTTGAAAGAAATGGGAGGGTGGGTGTGACACCCGAGGCCGAAGAGGGCGGAGGATGGTTGCACCGTATGTGTAACACTCGAGACCGAAGAGGGCTATGAGTGGTCGCCACATTGGAATGAGAGGTATCTTGAGGCTATGCAGGTATGAGACTGCATGTTGAAGGAAAGTTTATAAAGATTAACTTGTACTACCTATACCAACAAGATGCATCTTCTTTAAAGGTAGCCCGTTCCATAAGAACTCCACAATTAAGCGTGTTTGACTTGGAGCAATTCTGGGATGGGTGACCTTCTGGGAAGTTTCCCGGAAAGCGTGTGAGTGAGGATAAGAACACGCTAAAAAGACCCGTGTTGGTTTGTGGGGTTAGTTGATAATCCTGAAGGTAGCCTGGGGCATTACAAATGGTATCCGAGTCAGACCTCTCCTAGTACGATGTGCTTCGAGGATGAACCATACGGAAGCTGGTGGGCATGTGACACTCGAGGCCGGAGAGGGGAGAGGATGGTTGCACCGCATGTGTAACACTCGAGGCCAAAAAGGGCTATGAGTGGTCGCCACATCAGAATGAGAGATATCTTGAGGCTATGCATGTATGAGACTGCATGGTTGAAGGAAAGTTTATAAAGATTCACTTGTACTACCTATACCAACAGGATGCATCTTCTTTTCGGTAGCCCGTTCCTTAAGAACCCCACAGCTAAGCGTGCTTGACTTGGAGCAATTCTGGAATTGGTGACCTTCTGAGAAGTTTCCCGGAAAGCGTGTGAGTGAGGATAAAAACACGCTGAAAAGACTCGTGTTGGTTTGTGGGGTTAGTTGATAATCTTGGAAGCAGTCTGGGGCATTACAAATGCTTGTTGTTTACTAATCGACTTTTATACAGGAGTTGGGTTGAAGATAAGTGGGGGAGAAGCTTTGCTTCTCGGATGTGTTTCGGTTGTAAGATGTTGGTTCAGTATGCTGCTGATGGCAACAATACAAGTATTGTTGAAGTTTTGTTGTTTCCCAAATTCGAAGATGATATGGATTCAAGATTTTGTTGTTAATCAAGTTGGAGCCTCTTGAGGGAGAATGATCGGACCTTGTTGATGTTTACTTCTCGAAGGATGAGGAGCAAAGTAATGGTTGTTGATATACGAGTAGAGTGTAAATCTCTGATGTTTCTAAGGGTGATTGTTAAGTAACAAGGATAATTTTTAGAAGATGGAATTTAGAAAGTTGTGATGTTTCACCGCTGCTGGTGGACTGTGAAGAAGTGAAAAACACAAGAAGGGGGGTTGAATTGTAAAACTGAAAATCAATTGCAATGAACACGATATTTTTATCCTGGTTCATTTGATCTCAAACTACTCCAGTCCACCCGTCAAGGTGATTTCGCCTCTCTCCAACGAGGTCTTAATCCACTATATTCAACTGAATATTACAATCTGCTTTAACAACTGCTAAAGCCTTCTTGATGCAAACCACAAACCGGTTTGTCAAGGAAACACTTTCTTACAAAGAATAGAAGTCTAGGTGTGTGAATGTTTTCTACAAAACTGTTTATCACAACTGTGATATTACACAACTTAAGCTTATTGAAACTAGATTGCTAAAGATAATTGAGTAATGAAATGTGGAGCTTTTTAGCAAACTGAGAATGAGAAGATGATGAATAGCTTTTAGGCGTGGAAATAGTTGTAGAGCATTAGCCAATTCAATCTTCATTGACTTGTTTATATAGCACTGAAATTGTTGAACGTTGGAGCAATAATCTTGATTCAATGCCAATAACAAACTTTCCTTATTAAGCAGATCTTGTCTGGAATGATGCCGTTGGTAATAATTCGCCTTGAATGCACAGTACCGTTGCTACTTAAAGCGTGTTCTGGCTTTGGCTCATTCTGACTCTGCTTAAGTGCTGATGAACTGTTGTTGTCTTTATCAGAGTGTTGAGCGTAGTTCTGTTCATCAAGCTTCAGCATACGCGTGAATTGTTCTTCTGATTCTGGTATTCTGATACAACATCTTCTGATGCTGATGTTGATATCCAATATTCTGATGTTGATTAAGATGTACTTTTGCTGATACCTATCAGAGTTTCTGCAAAACAGAGGGTAATATTTTAGGTAGCAAATAGTTCTTACATGAATCACATAATTAATATATCCTTTCATTTTGTTATCATCAAAACTTAAACTTAGGGTAGTAGATTCAAACTTTGTTCTAACAATCTCCCCCTTTTTGATGATGACAAAAACTAGATATTTTTAATTGAAAATAACGTGAAAAAGTATCAGAAATAACTAAATGATAAGATGTATCAGAGTAAGAAGTTATCAAAGATAAGGGATAAAGAGATATCAGAGTTGAGATCGAAGATACCCCCCCTGAATTTATTACTTCCCTTTTTAATTCCAAGAGTTCTTCAGGATCAGATCTTTATTGTCTTTCTTTGATCATCATAATATCAGAGCTTTGACTATCAGAAGCTTTAGATCAGAATATCAGAGCAGAGCTTCAGATCAGAATATCAGAGCTTTATCAGAGCTTTGCTTTGGATCAGAGTATCAGAGCTTTAGTCTTCAGTGAGTTAGAGAGCATTCTTGTACCTGTAGACTTAAGCAAAAACATAAGAAAACATTCAAGTATATCAGAGTTAGAATGTTTGAGACTTTCTGTCTCAGTAATCCGTTATTGAAAAATATCATTCTTGTTCTCCCCCTTTTTGTCAGCAATCAAAAAGTGTAGGTGATGTGCTAAAACATTTAGATCAGAAAAAACTTGTCATATTAAATTAGTTAGAGCCAGACAAAACAGTACATAAGATATGCAAAGAAAACATGAAAATAGCATGAACGAAAATCTAAGGTTGGGGAGGAAGGCGTGTGAACAGAGTCTCCAGCATTACCTTAATCTGATCAGCAGTCTCATTCTGCTTGTGCACCATGCTGACTACTGTGTCTATCTTGTTGTCCTGCACATCCATCCTTTCCTTCATCTTCTGATCATTTTCATCCATTCTTTGCTGCAGACGGATATCATTCAGCTTCAGTTCTTCCAGAGTCTGCCTGTCCAAGGCAGCTTGAGAAACATCAGAAGCAGGGAGCTTCTGAGAGCTTTCTGCAACATCTTCAGCTTGACTGGCTTCAGCTTGAATTGTCTGATCTTCTTCTGGATGCACTTGTGAAGCTGGACGCTTCTCAGACCATGGCTCACTATCCAGAAGGAGCACGTCTTCTTTCAGCAGCTGACTTCCAACTTCGTTCAGAAGCTTGCTGAAATTCTGCTGTGCTTGCTCATAATTGATGTCTTACAATTTTAGAGCTTCAGCACGTACCCAAATTCTGAATCGTGTCCAGAGCTGGTCAGAGGCAGCTGGATCAATCATTCCAGGACATACTTGCTTCAGAGAAGCAATCCACTGCTGCAAACCTGTTTCAAAATTCATAATGCCAGAGCCAACATCTGGCTGTTTTGGTTTTGGAATGGCTATTTTATTTTTCAGATCAGCAAGATGGTCAAGGATTGTTAAATCTATGAAGGTCCTGCTGGGGTCTTCTGTGGTTTGTTTGGGAGCTGTTTGTTTGGGAGATGGAGTGGGAGAATCAGAAATAATGATT